TCTTTCCCCTTTTGGCCAAAGAGCAAAAGGCGGGAAACCGGCTCCAGCGTGTCTCTGCCGCGCTGTGGACCAGCTTGCAAAAGCTCCGCTCTGCCGCTGGGAGAAGCCAGGGGCGCCTAAAGGCCGGGCCTGCTTTTCAGAGCTGCCGAGCGCTCACCAGCCGCTCCAGGAGTCTTGTCTCCTGTCCCCAGATGTCCCTCCCTCCCGCCTTACGCCCCCGCCCAGGCCAGGCCCTGCCCTTCCGTGTCTGGAAGCCGGAGGGGGGAGGTTCTGTGCTGCCTCCAGAGCTCAGGCTAGTGGACTGCTCTGTGGATTGACGGAGCACAACGTACATAACCTAAGAACGGCCGTGCTGGGTCAGACCAAAGGTCCATCTAGCCACCAGGTGCCCCAGAGAGGGTGGACCGAAGACAATGATCAAGCGATTTGTCTCCTGCCTCTTCTCCAGCCTCTGACAGACAGAGGCCAAGGACACCATTTTATCCCCTGGCTAATAGCCTTTTATGGACCTAACCTCCATGAAATTATCTAGCTTCTCTTTAAACTCTATTATCGTCCTAGCCTTCACAGCCTCCTCTGGCAAGGAGTTCCGCAGGTTGACTACACGCTGTGTGAAGAAGAACTTTCTTTTATTAGTTTTAAACCTGCTACCCATTAATTTCATTTGGTGTCCTCTAGTTCTTCTATTATGGGAACTAATAAATAACTTTTCTTTATCGGCCCTCTCCACACCACTCATGATTTTATAGACCTCTATCATATCCCCCCTCAGTCTCCTCTTTTCCCGGCTCCTGCGTGGCGGGAAAGCGCTGAGCCCTCGTGCAGACGGCAGCCAGGTCAGAGCGTTACCTGCGCCCGCGGCCTGGCTCTCCACTGTCGATCCGGTGCCAGCCATGTAAAGCTGGAGCATGGAGAGAGGGACGCAGGCCCAGCAGCACCGAGCACCGTGCGGGTTCCCAACACAGCCCTGTGCACAAGGGGCCAATTCCCCCGCTCTCGGTGGGACGTTTCCACGTCGTCTGCACTGTCGGCACATCCTGGATGTGGGCTAGACCCGGCCAGTGCAGGGCGTGACGTGGCCTGGACGGGGATCGTGCCTCATGCCGGGAGCCGCGCTGAGAACGCCCTTTGTGCAGGGAGCACCACCCCACAGCTGCGCATTGCCACCGGAGCCCCGTGCAGGCTGCCGGCTGTTACTTCCCCTTAGCCCGCTAGATGGCCCCACCAAGCCGCCTCTCGGAGACCCCAGCGCCCCTTCCTCCGTGGCTCACGTCACTAGCTTGAGGGGGAGCTGAGTTAGTCTGTACAGGATAAACTGAACCAACAACCAATGGTCTGGTAGCACTTCAGAGACTAACAAAACGTGTCATAGAATCATAGAATCTGCCGGCTGTTACTTCCCCTTAGCCCGCTAGATGGCCCCACCAAGCCGCCTCTCGGAGACCCCAGCGCCCCTTCCTCCGTGGCTCACGTCACTAGCTTGAGGGGGAGCTGAGTTAGTCTGTACAGGATAAACTGAACCAACAACCAATGGTCTGGTAGCACTTCAGAGACTAACAAAACGTGTCATAGAATCATAGAATCATAGAATAATAGGACTGGAAGGGACCTCGAGAGGTCATCGAGTCCAGCCCCCCGCCCTCAAGGCAGGACCAAGCTCCATCTACACCATCCCTGACAGATGTCTATCTAACCTGTTCTTAAATATCTCCAGAGAGGGAGATTCCACCACCTCCCTTGGCAATTTATTCCAATATTTGACCACCCTGACAGTTAGGAATGTTTTCCTAATGTCCAATCTAAACCTCCCCTGCTACAATTTAAGCCCATTACTCCTTGTCTTGTCCTCAGAAACCAAGAGGAACAAATTT